AAAACATGCTACAGGATGAGTCTTGAGTATTCTGAAAATGATGTTGACATTGAAAGCAGTGTTATAGTTAAAAGAATCCCAAAACATCTTTAGGCATGTAGAATACTCTTGCAATTTTTATTTGATTCCATTACAATGTCCTCTCTGTGTTTTGTCGTATTTCATGCTTACTTTCCTCTGTAAAGTAATTTTAAAGTTTATAAAAGTTGAGTAGACAAAGTCTAATGTTATTGGGACCACAATCCTCCTGCAACCATTTGTGACTGAGAAAATCTTGACTAGAACTGAAAAGCATGACTTTCTCTGTGTCCTGCTTCATACAGAAATGTGACACAAGTTTCTTGGCCAGAAACCATTTGTACAGAGGGAAAGCTCAAGCATCAAAATGTATTCAGGATCTCCCCAGCTCCAGTTGCCAATACATACAGTTCAAACCTTCTGTTTTTCTGTTTATCACTGCTCCTGTTTAGAACAAATCTTCAGGACAATATTCAGCAGATGTGTCTTTACAGATAACTTCTGTTGGTTTAATCGCTAGGAATTGTTGAGATGCCTAAATAAGTGCTTTATCATTGATTGATGCCATATTTCTTCCATTCACTCTGTGTTTTGGTTGATTCCCTCTGGTGGTTTATTCTCCCACTCTACACTTAAAGTCGATCCCCTAAAGCAGTTGTTATGTTTGGATATCTGTTTTTCCTCATCATAATTTATAAAGAAAATAAATCTGTTATGATATGTTCAAAGTGAGGATTCGGTTGGAATTTAGAGCTTTTGTGTTATTCAAATCTTACAAATCATTTGTTGATAAAAGGTTGGAGATTAGGGTATGTTTTGTTGATCTGCAAGAGCAGGATGAGAAAATTGAATTGAACACAAACCTAACAGCTTTGTGTTTAAATGAGCGTTTGTGAAAAGCAGCCAATCTTGATCCCTTCTCTCAGTTGATTTAGCTGATCTCGGCTTCAGTATCCCTGACTAATGAGAATCAGGTTTCTACTCTTGATTCTGATTCTGCTAGAGATAAATACATGTGAATATTGAGTGAGCGAGCATAGGATTATTCTCAGATGGTTCATGCTATTCAATGGACAATTCTAATATTTCCAATTACTTGACCAGGGTAATCTTGGTGTTCAGTACTGGAGGTAAAATCTGTTGACATTAATCTGTAGTTATGTAACAAGATGAGGGACATACATCACATAAGTTTATTTTTGAATGTTTGTATTTGACCAATAACAACTGCAAAGCAAAGCAGTCCTTATTGATCAAAATACCAAACATGTAAAACTAAACTTAGGCATAAAATGCATAATTGCTATTGTACAATGGCAATTATACAAAACCTCCTCTCACCCACTTCTACAGAATCGGTCGGTAGACTTGATTAAGACTCAATCAAGTCCCCCAAAAAGAATTATATAAATGTTTAACGGAAAATAGGAATGGAGGTGATATGTGAGAGAACCTAAGGTGCAGAAAGAACAATCATTTTAACACTCCTTTTCCTATATAGCATCAGTACTAATTCAATGGTGGAGCAGCAATTAGGCACTTTCCCTATGCAACAAGGATACATTATTCATTTCCTTGATTTGGATTACCTTGAACCTAATGTTCATTTTCTACAGCACTGTTTTTGGTGAGTATTTTATCATTGAAGTTGGCAAATACCTTGTTAAAATTAGTCCAGTGAAAATTGCCATTGTGGAAACCCCTTTTAGAGTTGTAGATAGAGAAAGGGGTCATTGTAAACTAAGAGCTGGAATATACAATACAAAATTACATTTGTGAAGCGCCTTTCACGTCGGGAGGATGTCCCAAGTTGCTGAACAATCAAGGATTAGGACCCGAATATAATGATTGCCTGGATAGATTAAAACACTATATGCCTTTATTATGTTCCAACACATAAACTGTTTTTTTAAGAGGAACACATAACATATCTGAGTATTTGATGATGACCTCTCTGCTGGAATGGAGTCATTGCTTCCCAGCTTCACTCCTTCCTCTCCTGCCACTCCCTCTATGAACCCCTCCAACTGGGTTTCCGAAACAGCCTTGGTCAAAGTGACAAATGACATCTTGTCCATCTGTAACCAGGGCTTCCTCTGTCTCCTCATCCTCCTTGACCCCTTTGCTCTATTTGCCACTGTTGACTATTCTTTCCTATTCCGCCAGCTCTCCCCTCACCTCAACCTTCATGGTCCTGTCCTTGACTACCTTTCGCACTGTCTCCAATTTGTCTGTTTGAACGCTTCTCCTTCAGACCCCGGCACCATCTCGTGTGGCGTTCCTCAGGGCTCTGACCTTGGTCCCCTCCTCTTCAATATCTTGGTGACATCATCTGCAGACATGGGGTCAACTTCCACATGTATGTGGATGACACCCAACTCTACCTCTCTGCATCCACCCTTGACTCCAGGACCACTGCTGTTCTGACAGAATGTCTGTCAGACATCAAGTCCTGGATGAGAGCTAACTTTCTACGGTTGAATGTCAACAAAACCGAGGCCATATCGACCTGTCCGCTCCCTCCGCTCAGCAGGCTCCTGCCTTCTCCACATCCCCACCTGATCCACCCCACCATGTGGTTTTTGCATTAGAGGTCAGTTAGATTAAATACTTTAATGGGTTTTGACAGAACATATATATGGATGTATAGTAGCAAAGTAAGCACTTCATTATATTATGAGTTTTTTTACACGTCTCAAGACCCTCCTCTTCCACCGCGCCTTCAGTCAGCCTCCTACCCCTACCCTCCCTGCCTTCCGCCGCTTCTGATCCCAACCCCCTAACTTGGGTCCAAATCCCTGACTCTCCAGCATCTTGGGATGTGCTCCCAACGTTAAAGGCACTATACAAATGTAATTTGTTAGTTGATGATGGTACTTATCTTGTCATCTGAAGTATATATAATTGTTTTCTTAAGTACGGGTCATTCTTGGGATTAAAATACCATGTAGTTTTTGCATTAGAGGTCAATTAGATTAAATCCCATATCCAGATTCGACGGAACATATATATGGATGTATAGCAACATGTAAGCACTTCGTTATATCATGAGTTTCCTTTCAGAGGTGCAAATGCATGTTATTTATTTAAGAAAAAATGCAGTCAGAGGGTCAGCCTGTCAGCATCCTGTAAACAAAAAATTGAAGCCATTTTGATAGGGTGATTTTAAACTGTGGTAAGCTATCACTATTTCATATCAACACTTCCATGTAGTTTTCTGAATGCCACTTTTGGCACAATTAGTATTCACAAGAACTTTTTGCTGAAATCTGTCAGAATATCTTATTACCATCTCAAGTTTTGCAAGTATAGCTTATCTGTTGAATTAATATCCTTGGACTTGGATCATTAAGAGTACCTGAATGTGACTACAGACTTTATTGCACATGCTTTCTCATACACTGCTCATCATCCAGTGCAGATTTCAACACAATTACCTTAAGTCCCTTCTGCAGTGAAAAATTTGGGCTTATGCAAAGCTGTCAACGTTTTTTATACACTTGAGCCCTTTAAACTGCTGAGGCACAAGTGCTGCAGAGTTGAGGATGATTTTGATCTTTATAGGTAATAAGTTTAACAAGCCTCAAAAATCAAAAGAGGTTTGTTGTTTCTACCCCTGCCCCCCCCCCCCCCCCCTTCACCACACACACACAAACACGCACAGGGTAAAGGAAATGGGCAAATTATAAATATTCTGAAGTTTTAACTTAATTACCTTTGGAGTGTGGTGGTATCTATACAAATATGTTGACAAATGAGAGATCTGGAGTCCTGTAGCTCAGTGGTTAGAGCACTCGCTTTGCAAGTGAGAGACCTGAGTTCAATTCCAGGCAGAGGGCGAAACCTTGGGCAAGTTTCCTTACTCCACACAGAGCCTAATAATAATCCCTCCAAAACACCAAAAACAATAATAAATTGGTCATTTTCAATCTACGACTGTTTGTGGGACATTGCTGTGCACAATTGGCTGCAGCGTTCGCCCACAAATATACAGTCAATTCACTTTACAGTGTGTTCTGTGAAGCGCTTTGGGACGTCCTCCCCACGTGAAAAGCGCTATATCAAATGCCAGGATTATTATTATTATTATCTTAGTTGGCCTAGTTAATGTATGGTCTACGGAAAAAATCGAGTTGAACCAAATGCTGTTTTCTCAGCCATGCTTGATCAGTTTTGATTTTCACTACTTTCAGCCTTTTTTCCTTTTGCCTTCGATTTCTATTTTCTCCATTTTTCTTTGTTTTTCTCGCTTTCTGCTTTCCTGCTTGCATGTATCGTATTCTACTCGTATTCTTTCCTTTATCCTTCCAATCACTATTGCAACATTTGACTTTGAAGCCCAAGTACTTTATAGTTGGAACAACTAGTGATTTATTTGAAAGTTGCCACTGAGGTATGCGAGCAGCGTACCTGGATCTACAACACTTAACAAGACTTTAGGATGTGTGTCCCCTTTCTGTGTGGCTGTTTTGACTTATTTGCAGAGCTGTCAAACATCAGGAGCATTTTAGAAGTAAGATTTATGATCGAAAGGAGACTGAGATCTTAAACCAAGCTCGTCCAAATGGCCATTCTGATTGACCTTTGTCTGTGAATGTTGACAGGTAATTTTAGAGCAGACAAGCCCTTTTATTTATATATATTCCAGATCTATCAGAAGATACTCTGTAGTAAATCCACAATTTTAAAACTACGTCTTACCTTCTGATTAGATTGTCCATTGGAAGCTGTACTGTAATCCAACTGCAACCCTCCTCAATTCTTTCAACGTTCAGATTTTGAACTAACATGATGATGATGTAGACATACACCAATGACATCCCTAACAAACAGCAGTTACACTATAGATCCAGTGTTCTATTGCAAAACAAATGTGATGGGAATCTATGTGGTGTGAGCAATTCTATTTCATGGTGAATTAATATAATGCTTATTTTGTAGATGTATAAAAGTGTTCATTGCTATTCATTCTTTTGCTGCAGAAAAAGAAACTTTTCTGGATCCCTTTGTCCTAAGAGGCTTACTGCCAAGCTTACTTGGAAGCTATTACAGATACACTGGATCCCTGACAACTCCACCGTGCAGTGAGATTGTGGAATGGATAGTCTTCAGTAGGCCTGTCTTCATTTCCCTTGAGCAGGTGTGTATCATTGGTAACATGAGAATGCATGAATTTGCCCTCTGCCCTCTCCTGTAGAGGTTTCTAAAGCACAATTTGTTTGCCAGCAGACCAATGCATTTTTTCTTGGTTCAGCTCTCATGAGTGAATAGCTGCTGTTGTGCACAATAAAGATATGGTAAAACAAATGTAGTGTGAGAAAACAATTCAGGCTTATCTACCATTTATATTTAGCACTTTAAGCTATCTCCTACATCATTTTGACCTTGCAAAGGTCAAGGGAACCTTTGATCACATTTAAGAATTACTATGCACTATTATAATTTAATAAATGCATATGTTTCACCAATGGATAGTTCAACCTTACTTGCCTGATGTTTCCGTGAATACTTGTGGCACAATGTCTGTAGACATTTAATATATGTCAGTAATGTTTAGCATCTTTATTGGAATGTGGTGATGCAAGAAATGAGTACACCTAGGTTCTTGAAGCACAGTATTCTATTTTCTTTTGTTGTGCTGATTCATATTGATGTAAATACTTTATTCCATACCCAAATAGCCTTTATATCTCTGTTTAAGATGTTTGTTGAAGTTTAGAATGTAAGATAGAAGGTTGGTCTATTAAAACTAATTAGCTCTGTAATGCTGAATCAGGCGGATAGCTCTACAATGTGAATAGGCAATCAGCTCTGTCATAAGGACAAATTATTATTGATGAGCCTGGAAAGAGAAATCTGGAAAATTGCTGTGTGTAAAGGTTAAACTATTTTTCATAACTTGAGTCCTGAAAATATAGGTCGACGTATAATATCTCCATAAATAGTTTTAGAATTATTTTTCTTTTTTAGTAGACCCTGTTATCAGACAGGTTAGACTTTACTTTGTAATTTTCTCTAAGTGACCATTATTAGCACTAGTGCTGATTTAAGAATATATCTAACACCTGAGATTATTCCTTTGGCACGCAGCCATAACTACCTACTTTATATGTATCTTTCTGCTGATCTTCCGCATAATTTACCATCTTGCAACAATTTCTTCAGTCCCAGTTTAAAATAGATTATTTTTGGTTAACCTTATCCTTTAAATCCTCATGTGGTTCTTCTCACTGTGCAAATATATACACACACATAGTATTAGCTTTGGTTACGTTTTTTAGTTAAATTAGTTACAGAAGAAGCAGGAAGCAATGCAAATTACATCAAAGTAGCAGCGCATCAGCAGCACCAGACAAATGTGGAGACGTGTTTTATCACCTTTAATTGTTGTCATCTGTGTTGTAATTATTGCATCCTGTATGAAATGAGCTACTGGTTGTGCGCAGTGTGGCCGCCCAGCGGGTAAAGGTCAGGCTCACCTGCTTTCTGCTGTTGAGTACCCTGCCAACATTCACCGCCAAGGCTCACACGTGAGCAATGGCTACTTGGGATACTGGAACCCATGGAACTGCATCCCAGCAAGAGGAGGCCAGAGAGACATAGGGGAACAAGATAGAAAAATAATGAACCACACTACATTTATATGAGCAGCCTCCTCATATTTACACGGATGCCTTTTGTTAAGCCCAAATTATTTGCAGGATTTGGAAGAAAATTGTATGAATACTATGGTTTGCAATATTTTTGATTGTTGTGTCTTTGATTTTAAGCAGTTGAAATGCATAACGTGTGATACAATATAATACAATATGATATCTGATATAACATGCAATACCGCAGTTTCTTGTGTAACTAGTTAAACTAAAAAACATAGTGTGAACCAACAACAAATTATATTTGGATAGCGCCTTTCACGTTACGAGGACGCCCTAAAAAGAACTACTCTATAAGTAGTTGTTCCGTATTTCTTAAACATAGCTCGCTAGAGAGGGTTTAGTGATTGTTTGTGATTACAAGGTTGTGTTTTGGTATATTAAATAAAATGTGTGTGAAATAACTGTTCAGCAACAGAAGGTTGCTGTCCCTTTTGTGTTGAGATTAACTTGGCAGCATCTGCTGCTGGATCTTCAGGTTCAGTGTGTTACCAGGGTATGGGCAGGATAGGCACTGAGATAAGATTCCTGGCATTGATTCAGTGGGCAGCTCCGCTTTCTGTACAGCCATCAGCTTTGGCATCATAACTTCCTGCCATTTTACATCCTTATCTTCTTTGTGTTTTGAAAGATTTGCTTTTTTTGACAAATGTTCATTTCTTCCTTTCTAATTGCTGTATACAGCTGGACGCCTTTTATTCCATATTTACTACTGAACAGCATGACCATGTCAAATCGGTGGATTACTTAAGAAACAATTTCCGACCACTGCAGAATCTGAATGACAGGATCATCTACAAGTCTGCAGTCAAAGACTCTTGGAGCCAGGTGACTGAGAACCCTGGAATTCTGCACATCACAGAAGGTATTTTTTTTCTTGAAGCTTTCCATCAATTTAACAGATTTATTCAAAATGATAATGCCCAGGAAATGATTATGCTTCAGTAATCTGGCTTTACATGACTGATCTGAGTTCAACAGAATTGATTAGACAAAATGCAAAATACTGCAGATGCTGGAATCTGAAACAAAAACAGAAGTTGCTGGGAACACTCAGCAGGTCAGGCAGCATCTATGGAGAAAGGAAAGTGAGTCAATAATTCGGGTCCTCGACCCTTCGTCAGCCAAGAGTTGATTAAAGACTCTCATAAAAGATGGTCATACTTTTGCTTTGGCTTCAGACCAGTGTAATGAACAATGACTGCGAAGAAAAGTTTAAAAAGTTGAACCTGAAGGTTTTTTTTACAACACTTTGTGAAGGACTCTACACTCTTTATTTAGTGGAGCATTGTACATCGCACTGTTGATTACAAATGGGTTACCAATATGACAATAGATCCTGAAATAAAATTGGCCTATAAATTGCCAGGATAGATAATAAACTGATTATTGGGGTAGTTAAAGACTGTTTCTTTTTATGCCTGAATTTATGCAGCATCTTTCAATTGGATGAATGCCTCAAAACACTTAACAAAGACAATGTGGATCACTTATAATGTGGTTTGGGAATGAACAGGGATCAAAAGCTGATGAAAGCGGACACTGGTGTCGACTGTTGCATTATCACCTCCTTCCAACAGAAGTTTTTTTCTTTAGCCAGGAGGCTGAAGCAGCAGCCATGTTGCCATTCCATCATTTACTGACAGGAAGTGTGCTTGTGGGGATTGCACTGGTTCTGCCAGTTATCCCTTTGTTCTGAAATGGAGCTGTCTGATAACTGTGAAGTCTTTCAACCTGAGGGTGAGGAATGAACATGCAGAAACTCGCTCATTCAGGGCTTTGATATGCTAGGCCGGGATTTGAACTTGGTCCTATTGGATAGGAGTTGAATATGCTACCACTGAAGCTTCTGTAGCTCAAAGCTACACTATTAATAAGTGTTCTGGCATTGGTTTCCTGTAACAAACCCTTAGGATGTGCTACACCAGTGCTGGAGTCCATCTTAACTGATTGCCTTGACAACACAATGAATCAGATTCAATTGCAGAAGGCTGACTAACATGTTTAACGATAATCCTGACCTTGAATGATGATATAAAATTCACCTTGCTTACAATTTTGTCATCATGTGACTGACAATGATTGTTTGAGAGAGTGTTATCTCATTTTAAAATAGTCTCATTTTTGCTGAGGCAAAATGAATGCAAACTGTATTGTTTATATTAATTCTATAATTTAACTTGTTTTTGTCATCAGTTTGATCAGACTCTGAGACTGCAATTTCAAAACTTATTTTAAAATTAGGTTTCAACTTTCTCTTCGTTTTGAAGGAGTGGAGAATAAGCAGGTATGGACAAAGGAAAATGATTGGGACCTGTTCTGTTGAAGGCTTTTTATCAGTAGTGCTATTGTGTCTCACTAGGGTCACTGGTGGAATCAATTTGAATCAAATTAAACATTCCTGGACAAACTGATTGCAGCAGATTTGAAGTGCAAGTGAGGCATCCAGTATACATAACTACAATGAATTGATTTTAACATTAAGCCATCTCAAAAAATTGAACCAATCCATTTGGCATCATGGGGCTCGATCTATGGCACATCATCATAATGTGATCAGTTAACAGAAAATAATATTTCCAAAAGTTCAATTTGCCAACAAAATACACTGTCACTACACTTTACAATAAATCCTATGAAATGCTTTGAGACATCTTCTCGACATGAAAGGTGCTATATCAAATGCACAGATTATTACTGTTCTGAGCATAGAATATTATTTCTTCAAATACCCATCATGTTAATTGGGTAAACTGGCTGTGAGGATATTGAGATTATGAAAAAAGAATTCAGTAAATACCAGTAGGTGAAGTCATTCTCCATTGCAATTGCTACGTCCTTATTGTTTTGAAGTTTATATATTCAATTCTTGCACTTAACTGATGCAAACAAATTCAGCTAATATTTTTGTTATTTGTTTAGTTTTCAAAGTCACAGGAAGATTAGAAAAGATAGTCTAAGTGAATCATAATTGCTTTCTAACTTCTCACTGTTAAGAGAATGATGGTCCCATTTGGAAACTACAGCAGACATTAAGAACATGACACTTTTTCGTATTTCCGTTAAAGAATTTACAGTGTTATGATTAGTATGCCTTTAAAAAATTACTTTTCTTTTAGGGATCCATTTGCCATTTAATTGATTTTAACGTAGAAGAGAACTACAAACAACAATTGAGTGTAAAAAAAATTGCTGTTGATTATTTTTCATTTACCAATGTTAAAACTTTGTGAATACAAACTGTTATGCATCAGACCTAGACTTATAAGTTTAAGATGTATAGTGAAACTCTAATCCTTTCTGCTCTGTGTGTTCATATGGGGAGGGAAGTAAACCCACAAAATATTTTATAAATATTAAAACAAAATGTGGATAAAGTGAAAAGGAGAATTCAAAGGAAAGTACTCAATAAAAGGCTTGGTTGTGCTTTCACCAGTTGCTGGTCTATCTCCCCCTTATACCTGTAATCATACTCTGCTCAGGTGCACTTATCATCTGGCTTCCAGCTCCCAAGCTCTTCTCAGTCTGCTGTCATAGGCTTAAGTGTGAACCTCAGTTCTGCCATACCATGACTCAGCGGCCCTCATTTGGTCCTTTTTTTCTGATACAAATCAGAAAAAATGCCTTGGTCATGGAATACTATTGATTCATTGATATCAAGGGGTACTGAATTACAGCACCAATTCTGCTTAAGTTACTAAAGGGAGGATAAAGAGAACTCTATGACTTTGATTACTGTGTCTTTGGAAAATTCTACAGGAACATAAATCATAATTGATGCTGAAATTTTAGGAATTTAAATTTCATCAAAAGGGCATTTTACTTTCAAGTTCAATTCATACACTTTCTTATTTTTTTCTGTCATTTTTAGCTCTAACAAATTGATTAGAATATGTGCCTTTCTGGAAATGTCTACTAACCGCTGACTGCAGTTTTTGCCAATCTGATCAGGAGTGATGCATGCAATTGAAATCAGATTAGAAAATTATAATTGTTCAGACCTAAGACTGCCACATTAATCACAATTTCAGGGTGAGAATGCTATTACCAAGTTTCTAGTTGACTAAATTAGTATTTAAACTTCAAATGGAATGATTGTGTCATTCTGAAGTCTTAAAACTTGAATTTATGATTAACGCTTCAAGAAGTAAACTTATTAGCACTTTGAAATATTTGTGTGAACTTTTACAGAATTGGTTACAAACCACATGCAGTGCTTATATGCAGTAGATCAGGCTAGAAAATAATAACAAGACTAACATACAAAATAAATAAATAAGTCCCCTCCAAAATAACCATAATAATAATCCTTGCATTTGATATAGCACCTTATCACATCTTTGAGACGTCTCAAAGCACTTCACAGTATATACTGTAAAGTGAATTGACTGTGTATTTTGTGGTTGAAAAGCGCAGCCAGTTGCGCACAGCAATGTCCCACAAACAGCCGTGGATTGAAGTGACCAATTTATTATTTGGGGGGGGGGGGGTGTTAGAAAATAAAATCAGCCAAATCTGCAAGGAAATAACGCTAATTCCTCTAACCAGATATCAGACTGTTTTATTATAATTCGTTCGTTATTCCCCAATATCCCGATGGGTCAGACCAAAGGCCGGTACAATCAACAGATCTTATAACAGAATAACACCACTATAGATATCTCGAGTTCAAGAGTTCAACACTGTGTCTTTCCAGCACACAAGCTTGATTCTTCATGCTTTCAAACAAAAACAATAATTAAATTGGTCATTTTCAATCTACGACTGTTTGTGGGACATTGCTGTGCGCAATTGGCTGCCGCGTTCGCCCACAAATATACAGTCAATTCACTTTACAGTGTGTTCTGTGAAGCGCTTTGGGATGTCCTCCCGACGTGAAAAGCGCTATATCAAATGCAAGGTTTATTATTATTATTATTATTTCAGTCTTCTTGCTTACAGCTTTCAATCTTCCATCTGATATCCTCAGTCTTAGTGTTTCCAGCTCTCAGTCTTTCATCTCTGTATCCTTGTCTCTGCGACCCGGGACGGCTCCATCTCCCGTATCCTTGTCTCCGTGACCCGGGACGGCTCCATCTCCCGTATCCTTGTCTCCGCGACCCGGGACGGCTCCATCTCCCGTATCCTTGTCTCCGGGACCCGGGACGGCTCCATCTCCCGTATCCTTGTCTCCGCGACCCGGGACGGCTCCATCTCCCGTATCCTTGTCTCCGCGACCCGGGACGGCTCCATCTCCCATATCCTTGTCTCCGCGACCCGGGACGGCCCCGTACACAAAGTTATCGGAACTCTTATACCAATATTCATCCAATCATGGTGTGGATATCAGATCACCCGGTCGAAATCATGCTGGGTTCACGTGAACACCTCATGGGGTGTACATGCCTCACACACACAAACACACTGTCCTTGAGACAGTCCGTTATCTCGTGTACGTGCAGGGAGTTTCAGTCCAGCTGCCCACAACACACTTAACTTAAAAGTTAACCCGTTCGCAACATCTATTATGATTCTAACATTATACAAAAAGTGTAAATTCTAACAGGGGTTTCTGAAGGAATTATTACCCCCGGAAAAGTGATCCACCAATCGACTAACAACCGGGTTCCTACTTACTGCTAGGTAAACAGAGGCGTGTGGAATAAGGAAACGTTTTGCTCTGCTGGGAATCGAACCTAGGTCTCTTGCTTGCGAGGCGAGTGTACTAACCACTGAGCTACAGGACTCCAAAATAACCAACCTAGTGTTATTCCCTCAAAGATTTTCTCCCTTCTCCCGACTCTTCTGAAAGAATTTCCTTTCAATAAGCTTCATGGATGCTTATGTACCTCACCAGGTTAGCATTATTCTTTTTTGATCCTTGAC